TCATGTGTGTGTCCAGGGATGACCCCCTGTACCGTTCCACCTGCTGACGCTGTCAGGTGCAGAAGGAAGCACAGCAGGCCTGGAGGAGGAGGTGGGATGGTGGGTGGGAGTGAGCCTGGTAACGCCCTCTCATCCTTCCTGCATCTTGGTTCCGACTGCCCACCTTGGGGGTTGCGCATGCCGCTTTGTATCCCCGCTCCCCTCCCAGGACATGGCCAGCAGCGCCCCTCCCTGTCTCCATGGTGCAGAGGAGTTCAGGTTTGCACTCTGAGGCCAAATTTGTATCCAGACCTGGGCTTTCGGTTCTGTATCTATCCAGACATGACTTGGGCTCCGTACATCCATCCTGCAGGCCGGCTCTGGTGGTGGGAGCTTGCAGTCACAGTCCTCGCTGTTCAGAACGTCCCTTCTCAGGCCTGGCACAGTAGCCTAGTAGCTAAAGTCCTGTCCTTGCACACCCAGGATCCCATATGGGCTCAGGTTAGTGTCCCGGCTACTCCACTTCCCATCTGTTAGATTCACTGACCGCCAGGTAAGGAACACAGCAGCTGCGTATAGAAAAGAATTTAGGGGTCCTTTATAACGGGGAACCACAGGTCATGGACTTCCCTTCCCTGTGTAGCAAAGCAGGGAGCTTACAGAGGAAAGAGGGAAAAAAAAAAAGCCAAAAAAACAGAAGAATCATGCAAGAGACTTTTAAACCCCTCTTGACACGGAGGCTGAAGTGGGGGTCACTTGGGCCCTTATTGGGTGGGGAGTATTGACTTGAGTCATTGGTGTAGCAGTGATTTCACTGCCTCGGGGGCCCCCCAGAATTCTGTGGTCCCTTCTGGGTCCCAGCCTGAGGTTACTGACCGACCGGACTCCAGGCAACCTCCACTCTCCTCCGGTAACCATGGCAACAATCACCATCCAGCTCCCCGCCTGTGGCCTGGGAAAGCAGCGGAGGGCGGCCCAAAGCCTTGGGACCCTGCACCTGTGTGGGAGACCTGGAAGAAGCTCCTGGCTTCGGATCAGCTCAGCTCTGGCCGTTGAAGCCACCTAGGAAGTGATCCATCAGACGGAGGATCTTCCTCTTCTCTATATCTGCCTTTCCAATAAAAATAAATCTTTTTTTTAAGAAACTTAAGAAAAGGTCCACTGGGGAAACAGGTGGGTGCAGTCCCTGCTGCCGCCACCGGAGGGCACAGTGCGGCGCGCTGCGGGGCCCGGCCTGTGTGACCCTCTGCCGCCAGCAGGTGGCGCTGCCGTCCCTTCCCTGGAACCTGGGCTAGCCTGGGCTCCAATTCAAGGACTCCCTTCCCCAACCCCCGGGACGGTTCAGTGTCGTCGGAAACCAGCGTCCTTGAGCGGCTGTACGCCTCCCCGGCACCCAGTCACCAACTCGCCAAGGTCCAGAGAAGAGGTCAGTGACCCCGGCGATTGGGGAGAGAGTGCCAAGCGGGTGGGACCACTGGCCCCTGGGTCACCCTGATGCAGCGAGCGAGGAATGTGCTGGAACGCGAGGTGGGGGGTGTCCAGAGGCAGGGAGGCGCCCCAAGGTCCTGCAGGTCCTGCAGGGATGGGCGCCCCACCCAGGGACTGGTGCAGGCTCTGAACAGCCACTGCAGAGGTGTGGCAGCAGAGGGGAGGGTCTGCCTGGGCAGGGGTGAGGCGCTGGGGGCAGGAGTGGGGATCCCCGGGGGCGTTTCTTGCAGGGCAGGGAGGGGCTTGCGTCTGCAGCGAGCTGGGAGGGAGGGGGCGACGCTGGAACCTGGGCCACCCCGTACTGCATGTGTGGCAAAGGGAGTGGATTTGAGGGGCAGTAAGATATTTTTGATTCTGTTTTAAGGTTAATTTTATTATTTTGATTGGAAAGTCAGATTTACAAAAAGGACAAATAGAAAGAGCTTCCATCCACTGGTTTACTCCCCAAGTGGCCACAAAGCCGGAGCTGAGCTGATCCGAAGCCAGAAGCCAGGAGCTTCTTCCAGACTCCCACACAGGTGCAGGGTCCCAAGGCTTTGGGCCGTCCTCGACTGCTTTCCCAGGCCACGGGCCGGGAGCTGGATGGGAAGTGGAGCAGCTGCGATCCATACCAGCATCCGTATGGGATCCTGGCACATTGGAAACAAGGACTTCAGCCACTAGGCTGCAGCGCCAGGCCCAGCAGTAAATAAAAAGTTCATTTTCACTTCTGTTTCCCAGATGACAAAGCTGAGACTCGGGATTCAGCAAGGGAGTCCGAACCCGGGTTTGTCTATCCTCTAGGGACCCCTCGTGTCAAGGACACTCTTGTTCCCCCGGTGAGGGACCTCGTCCGCCAGGGCAGTGAAAGGTCACAGACCCCACGTCAGCCCTTCCTGCCACTCCCTCTGAGTCTGGGCCAAGGCCTGGATTCCTGGGACAGGGAGTGGAGTGCACCCCATGGCCGACGGCACCCTGCACCCCCCAAGCGCCAAGCAGGAGCTGCAGGCCAGAAGCACCCGCAGGTGGCAGCCCGCAAAGAGTAGCACTCTGCCTCGGACACGTGTGTCTACACCACGTAGTCCCAGTGCACGAGGCCTCCGGACTGAAAGCTGCGCTTCGGGGAGCGTGCTTGGCCTGGCGGGTGAAGTCTCAGCCGATGCGATGTCTCCTGGGGGCCTGACACCCGCGTGGGAGACCAGGACGAAGCCCTGGCTCCGGGTTCCAGCCCGACCCAGCTCTGGCCATGGCGGCCATTGCAGGAGTCTGTAGCCTCTTGGTTTGCCCACCAAGAGCCCTGGTGGGTCTCGTTTGTTCTTGCGTGACAGTGGGCGGGGGCTGGGGCCTCCACTACGTCCCTGGTTCAGACAAGGCCTCGCTCACCTGGAGCGGAAATTCTGGTTTTCCAGACTGTGTCCCCGGAAGCCCCTGTGCCTTTTGAGGACCAGCTCTGCATTTGATCCCCTTTAGGTGAGAAATCCCACAGGGCCAGTTGCCCCTGGGGCTGCTGTGAGCTGGGGCTGGGACCACACCGCTCCGCGCACGCAGTCAGCATGCAGAGGCTGTAAGAGGGAAGGTGTGTGTATTGGGGGTGAGCAGCCCTCTCCCTGGCCACCCTGAGTTTCTGTATGGCTGTGTATGTGTGGTTGAAGGTGTGTGACATGGCCGTGTGAACACGTGGCCGTGACTGTGGGTGACCACGTGCTTGGCCGTCCAGTAGGGCTGCGGCTGCAGGGGGAGCCAGGGTGCATCCAACACAATGGGGTGGGGGGAAAGGGGAGCCCACGTGAGCACAACCCACGAGTAGCCATGCACACGAGTGCAAAGTGTGAGCTCATTGGGCCTGGCACAATGGCTCAACTGGCTAATCTTCCACCTCCAAATGCCAGTATCCCATATTGCAGTGGTTCATGTCCCAGCTGCTCCATTTACCATCCAGCTCCCTGCTTGTGGCCTGGGAAAGCAGCAGAGGACGGCCCAAAGTCTTGGGGCCCTGCACCCGCGTGGGAGACCCACAAGAAGCTGCTGGCTCCTGGCTTCGGATCAGCTCAGTTCCGGCCATTGTGGCCGCTTGGAGAGTGAACCAGCAGATGGAAGTTCTGTCTGTATAAATTTGACTTTCCAATAAATTAATAAACTTGTTAGAATCTGTGAACTCTCCACTGCTCAGTCCTTTTGCCCCTCACCCCTTTGTTGGAACTACAACTTCTTTCGTCCCACATCCCCCAATGCCCTTCCCTCCGGCCACTCCCAGCTCCAGGCAGCAAGGGAGGTGTCATTGCAGCTCCACGGCTCCCTGCCTCTCATTTTTCCCTGGCAGCCAAGTCGCCCCTGCCTCTCTGTTCCCAAGCGGACCAGGTGCCCCCGCCCGCGGTCACTGCTGCCCTCCCAGGCGGGCAGGGACCAAGACGGCACTCACGGGGCTGGCCAGCCACACACAGGGGGTCAGTCACCCAGAACCACTCCCCGCCAAGCCTGATTGCTCCCCCCACCCACCGCACTGCCCCCTCCACTCCCAGATGGGGCCCAGACCTTGCCTGCCTTCCATACCTCCCCAGGGCCTCTGGCTGGCCTTGAACCTCACAGCTGGCCGCTCACTGCCAAGAACACGGAGGTCCCAGCCAGGGGCCCTGAGCTCCACCCAGAAACAGTGAAATGAGCGGGAAAGGAGAGGTTGCCAGGAGCCTGGCCTGGGGTGGTCCGAGTGGGTGGGGACAGTGCTGGCTCAGCTTCCTGAGGGTTGTGGGTTCAGGGGTCCAGGCAGATCAGAGAGATCCTTCCCCTTGCCCCTCCCCCACTTCCTCCCAGCCCGTTCCCGCCACGGCCCTGTCCTCACCAGACCCCAGCTCCTGCTCTCTGCTCTATTGCGGTGACTTCCACGTGCCCAGTGGTCCGGACGTTAGAAGGGCTGGCTGGGTCAGACCCACAGCAGGCCAACCCCAAGACGTGACGCCCATGGCCACAGAATCCGCATTCCCAATGCCTTTGCCGGCTCGAGCCCCCCTGGGGGGGGGGGGTCAACCTCCTCCTGAACCAAGATTGGGGAGAAGTATGCAAGACGGTGGGTGGGCTGCCAGCGGGGAGTCTGGGAACCCAGGTATGGCAGCAAAGTGACCATGCAGAGATGGGGTCAGAAGTGGAACGGCCAGCAAGGGGCAGCTGGCAGCTGCCGAGAGTCCAAAGCAAAGAAGCCGACTGGTGACTGGTGCACATCTTTATTTGCGTGTTGGCTTAAAGCTGCTTTTTTTTTTTTTTTTTTAAGTTCAAGGAGGCAGCCCAGGTCCCCGGGACAGGTGACAGGCAGCCAAGGGAAAGAAGCAATTTCCGCTCCCTCCCCAGCCAAGCTTCTAGAACAGCACCTGAGGGAGCTACAGCGTGGGCATGTCTGGGCTTTGTGCCTGGCACTCTTTGGGTCGCTAGAAGAGTTAATATTTTAAAACATAAGAAAAATAAAGTAAGTCAGCAGAAGCTTTCACAAGAGAGGACCAGCAGAGGGCGCTACTGTGCCTTTCTCCTCTGGCTGGCTGGGCAGGGTCAGGGAGGGTGGCCTGGTCTCACAGCTGGTCTTCCCGCTCTCTCCGCTCCTCTTCCACCCTGGCCTCGGCCCTCAGCACCCTCAGGCTCCTGGTGTCACCTGCCCTGGGACCTGTCTTAGGCAGGACTGGCAGACGCGGGCTGTGCCAGAAGGCTCTGTGGCGCTTACGGAGCCAGGAGAAGCGTCCAGGGGTCTGGAACCTCACGGTCTTGACTGGTTTCTGGGCCCTGGCTCCTGGCACAGCCCCTGGCGGGCCCCGAGCAGCCGAAGTCTCAGCTGAGGGCCCTGCCCTCTGACTGCCTGCTGCCTCCCCCCTCTGGCTGCTTGCTGCCTGCACCCTCTGACTGCCTGCTGCCTCCACCCTCTGACCCTCTGCAGCCTCCACCCTCTGACTGCCTGCTGCCTCCCCCCTCTGGCTGCTTGCTGCCTGCACCCTCTGACTGCCTGCTGCCTCCACCCTCTGACCCTCTGCTGCCTCCACCCCCTGACCCTCTGCAGCCTCCACCCTCTGGCTGCCTGCTGCCTCCACCCTCTGGCTGCCTGCTGCCTCCACATTCTGACCCTCTGCAGCCTCCACCCTCTGACTGCCTGCTGCCTCCATCCTCTGGCTAGCTGCTGCCTCCACCCTCTGGCTGCCTGCTGCCTCCACCCTCTGGCTGCCTGCTGCCTCCACCCTCTGGCTGCCTGCTGCCTCCACCCTCTGGCTGCCTGCTGCCTCCACCCTCTGACCCTCTGCTGCCTCCACCCCCTGACCCTCTGCAGCCTCCACCCTCTGGCTGCCTGCAGCCTCTGCCCTCTGACCCTCTGCAGCCTCCACCCTCTGGCTCGCTGTAGCCTCTGCCCCTGAACCAGCTGAGGTCTCTGCTGTCCCACAGCCTTCAGCCTCTGTCCCCTGGTCAGCTGGAGTTCCTGTCCTCTGGCCAATGATACCCTCTGCCCTCTGATTCTTTGTGGCCATTGACACCTGGTCAGCTACGCCCTCCACCCCCTGGTCAGCCATGCCCTCCGCCTCCTGGTTGGCTACAGCCTCCACCCCATGGTCAGCCATGGCCTCCACCCCATGGTCAGCCATGCCCTCCACCCCCTGGTCAGCCATGGCCTCTGCCCCCTGGTCAGCCACGGCCTCCATCCCCTGGTCAACCATGGCCTCCATCCTCTGGTCGGCCACAGCTTCTGCCCCCTGGTCAGCCACGGCTCCTGCCCCCTGGTCGGCCACGGCTCCTGCCCCCTGGTCAGCCATGGCCTCCACCCCCTGGTCAGCTCTGTCCTCCACCCCCTGGTCAGCCACAGCCTCCGCCCCCTGGTCAGCCAGGACGCCTGTCCTGTGAGCTGTGGACGCCGCCTCCTCTCTCCGACGGCCGCGGAAGGAGGCCCAGCTGATCCTGAGCCTCCATCGCCTGGGGATGGGGTCCTCTCCATCCTCCCTCTCCGCCTGACCCTGACCACGGCTGTCCCTTGGCTCCAGCTCGTCGGGGCGGGTCCTGGGCGTCCAGCCCTTCACCCTCTGCTTCAGCTTCCCCCAGGACACCTGGCTGATGTATTCGCGCCATCTGTCGGCCCTGGACGGCCGGGGCCCCGGGTTGTCCTCCACCACGGGCACGGGCCCAGGGAGGCGGCGGCGCGCGGGCTGCGCGCTGGGTGGCTTCTCCCCGCGCCGCAGGAAGGCCTCCACCAGCTCCTCGTCGTCCTCGCTCTCCACGTCGCTGCCCAAGAACTTGCTGCCCAGGTAGCTGACCGGCATTCTGCGTACGCGCCGGCCCCGCCGCGCCCCCCGACCAGCCGGCCGGGCCTTGGCCATCTCGAAGTCGCTGAATTCGCTGTCGCTGGCATTGCTGCTGTCGTAGGTGCCCACGACGAGCCGGGGCGGAGGCGTCACCATCAGGGGCACGCGCCTCCTCGCTCGGGGGGCCTTGGGTTTCTTGGGGGGCTGCGGCGGGTGCGGGGTGCTCTTCTCAATCATGCGGGCCACATCTTCCAGCGTGCGGCCCTCTTCTTCCAGAAACTGTGTGAGCCGCTCGCGGAATTCCGCCTCCTTGGTGGCCGGCTTGGAGAGGACCCTCCAGACGGCCCCGGCCAGGTGGATCTCGCGTGGAATGAGCAGGTAATCCACATCGTCCCCGATCTGCAGCAAGCCCACGGTGGAGTCCTCCTCGCGCCGGAACACCTTTCCGATCTTCTTGAAGGTCCCCACGGGCTTCAGCGCTTCCACGAGGACATCCAAGTCCACATCTTTGCACGCGTCCGGCACACTCCACAAGATGAGACAGTCGGGGGACGGCAGGAAGCCCCAGGGGAACCAGCCCCCCACGTGGCTTTTCTCCAGGGTCTTTAAGATCTCCAGGGTGACGGCTGGGGCGAGGGGGTCCGGCTGGGAGCCCCAACAGACAGTCCCTAAGGCTAGGGAGCAGAGCGCCGCTGCTTGGGAGACTCACGTCCCACTCTGGGGTTGGGAAAGACGCCTACCCTGCAGCAATCCGGGTCGGGCCCAAATCTGGCTCACCCCCGAAACCGCGCTGGGAAACAGTGCCCAGGCCACTGACGGGCAACCTCGAAGGCGGCGCCAAGCAGGTTCGGGGCGCACGGGCGCTTCTGGCAGCCCCAAGCAACCGGAACGTGGCTGCAAAGTTGGGAAAGGACTTGGCAAACAAAGACGACTCCGCAGCCCGCCCGCGCAGGCTATTCAATATGGCCGAGCGCAGGGAGGCCTCTGCCCAGCCAGTTCCCCACCCTCACCCCCGCCCTCGGAGGGTCTCCCGCCCCCAGGCAGCCTGCCACCCCGCTCCCGCCTGACCTTGACGCGCCTCCCGCCTCCCAGCCAGTGCGCACTCAGGGGGCGGCGCAGCGGCATGGCCAGGAAGTTCCCGGGCGCCCTCTCCTACTCCACCCCCACCCCGGGGGGTGAGGCCCACCTCCCCTTCTCATCTTACACTCCCAGCTCCGGGAAGACTGACAAGGGGACCGTCCACTCCCCTCGGGCAGGCCTCACTCTCCTCCCCGCCAGGGGTGTGGCCGCGCGCCCCGCGCGCAAGCCTCGCTGGGGCCCACGTCAGCACCTTGCCCGCGAAGGCCTCGGTCCCCAAACGCCCCATCTTCGACGTGCTGAGGGCACCCCCGGCGTCGCCAAGACGCAGTTTGGTTGCCAGGTATCTGGTGCTGGCACACAGTCCGTACCTAACTAGTGTGAGTGCGTAAATGAGCCTAAATACTAATCGGCGTGACTGTTTTTGAAGGGTTTACAGTGGAATTCTAGGTGGCTACGAATGAATGGACCAACGTTAGGCAAGTTTGTGGAGCACTGGAGGGACCCTGGCTGCCGTTACCAGGGCTCCCAGATCCCCCACTATCTGAGTAACGGTCGTGTGTCACAGTAGGGAAACTGAGGCCCCTGGAATTGAGACCTCTGCCATCAAGTCACCTAACTAGGCGGAGTTGTGTACGCAGGCCAGAGTCTACCTGTTGTATAGACACGGGTGTGTGTCTCGTGTGTACAAACACTGCTCACGGTGAATTGCTCGAAGGTAAGCCGGAGATGGTGCTTACATTTTTAGTGATGGAAAATATTTATTCAAGTCAACAAAGCACAAGCTAGAGTCGTCCTGGGGCCCCCAAATCCATTCACCCTGGGTTGGAACATCCCGTGCCTTAGTAGCAGGTAAGCTGCGGGGACGGGGTCTCCCCGGGGCAGGGCAGCCGTTTGAGGACTGCCTTGGTGCCCGCGCCTGCTCCCTGGTCTGTGCTGTAAACAGCCGGCTGCTATCAGGAGCAGATCTCAGGCTAAACATTAAACAGGCAAGCACAGCAGCAGGCATTAGCTTAGCCCCATCTCTCTCTCCCATAAAGGCTGGGCCATTTAACCCCCAAGAGCTGCAATCCTGGACAACTCTTCCCCCGACATAGTGGGTGCCTGGGCTCCCAGGTCCTAACCGCCCCCACCCCCGCACGTGCCATCCACACCCCCACACACTCAGCAGCTACAAGGAAGAATCTTTTTTTTTTCTTAAGATTTATTTATTTATTTTTATTGCAAAGACAGATTTACAGAAAGAGACAAAGATCTTCCGTCCGATGACTCACTCCCCAAGTGGCTGCAATGGCCAGAGCTGAACCAGTCTGAAACCAGGGGCCAGGAGCTTCTTCCAGGTCTCCCACGTGGGTGCAGGGTCCCAAGGCTTTGCATCATCCTCTATTGCTTTCCCAGGCCACAGGCAGGGTGCTGGATGGTAAGTGGAGCAGCCGAGACATGAACCAGTACATATACGGGATCCTGGCACTTGGGAGACAAGAATTTAGCCACTGAACCATTGCACCAGCCCCAAGAAGAATCTTCAAAAAAATTTATCTTTTGGCTCGAGATTTCTCCATTTCACTCAGAATCAAAGCCGAGCCCTCACCCCGGCCTGCCACACCCTTCCCTCCTTCCTGCTGTCTCATTCTGCGCCCCCAGGCCTCTCTGCCGCCCTCCTACCCATCGGGGACCCCTGCCCACCCTGAATGCCCTGCCCTTGCAGCTCCCCACCCTGAATGCCCTGCCCTTGCACCTGCCCACCCTGGATGCCCTGCCCCACCCTCCCTGGGCCAGCTCCCTTCTCTGATTCTGGGCTCTGCTGCAATGCCAGCTGCTCAGAGAGGCCCTCCCTCACCTGCTTGCTAAATCAGCCACCACCCTCTCCCAGCTCTCTATGCCATTGGACTCATTTCAGAACAGTTTTTCAACACGCATCAATTCCTAGTGCTGCGCACAGCACATTAAACCCCTGCTTGGGGTTCTAACATCCCATATGAGAACTGGTTCAAGTCCTGACTGCTCCACTTCCCATCCAGCTCCCTGCTCACACACCTGGGAAAGCAGCGGAGGATGGCCCAGGTCCTGGAGCCCCTGCGCCCAGTGTGGGAGACCCGGACACTTTTCAAATACATACATCTTATTTAAAAAAAAAAAAAAGAAAGAAAGAACTTGTGTGATTGCATTCAACCCCTGGACGAACCAGGCAATCCTTAGCGGGGAGAACGGAGGGAAAAGGAGAGACCGAGGGGTGCAGCTCGGCTGCCAACCACATCTCCCGCTCCCCGCAGCCTCTGCAGTTCGTGGCTCCGCGCGATGAGCTGTTTTCACTCCGCAAGGCCAGGTCGCTGCACAGCCGCCCCATCCCAGCCCCGCTGCAACCCGGGGGCCTCCTGCAGACCCGCCTGCGCCTGCGCTGCCCCGGGGGCTCCATGGCAACCACGGACGCTCCCCAACCCGGCCGCGCTAAGGGGGTGCAGCCCAGGCGGAGGCGGAAGGGAAAGGGAGGGCTCTTCCTTCTTCGGGCCTGGTCCCTAAGCCAGGTAGCCCGAAAAGCTGCTCTGGAACTCCGGGACACGCCGCTCTTTTCGGCAAGGCTGGCTTAAACATCGCCATGGCAGGGCAAGCTGGGAGATGAGACGTTTGAGTTCCTAAGGCGGTAAAGTTTTGAGGGTGGGAAAACAGAGGAGATGATTCTAGAAACGGAAACCCCAAACGCTCGGGCTTCTCCCAGCCAACGCCAGCGCCTCACCCAGAGGACGCAGGTAGCTCTGAGCTTGTCCCGAAAGGATCAAGCTCGCCTTGGTATACGTCTGAATATTACTTCTTCATTAATATGTGTTTGTATTAATATGCATTTGTAGAGTTGGGATGGGGGAGGAAGGAGAAAGGAAGAGCTTCCCCCACCCCCACTGCCTTTTTATCCAAATGACCTCAGCAGCTAGGACTAAGCCAGGCTGAAGCCAGCAGCCTGGGACCCCCTCCAGGTCTCCCATGTGGGTGCAGGAGCCTAAACACTTGGGCCCTTCTCCACTGCCGTCCCAGGCACATTAGCAGGGAACTGGATGGGAAGCAGAGCTGCCGGGGCTCCTATGGGATGCTGTGGTTGTGGGCAATCAATAATTTAACCTGTGGCATCACCCCCTGGTCCCCCTAGTTTGCATTCATTTGTGGCACCGACAGGAAGTGTGCAGTCCCCCCCTCCACCCTCCTCAAGTGACCACGGATTTTCCAGGCTGCAAGGAGGAAGACTCGGAGTGTGACTCTGACCTTGACCCCCAAGAGTAACAGCCCCTGAAATACTCACAGGGTGTCCTGAGCCCCAGGAGGCAGTTTGGGGGAAGGGCACCCTGGAAGGGTCCCCTAAAGCGCCACCCAGGTGGTAATCATCAGATTGCCTTTTCTGGGGAGTCAGGGATGCCTTCTGCAGGACGCTGGGCTGGCCTCTTGGTGGTCAGACGCGGATGTCCCATGGCCACCTCAGAGGGCCACTGGCGTCTTCTGTCTCCCCACAGAGAGGCACACCCCCACGGCCATCCCCCCGGAAGGCGTCCTTCACACACCACACACCGAGGCCAGACAGCAGCCTGCATCGCCAGAACCCGGCTCCTACGGCCCCCTGAGCCTGAATCCACCAGCTCTGGGGAGCCCCCTCCCATGGGCCTCCACTGCTGCCCCAGTACAGCGACCCCCTCCTCCTGCTGTTCCTGCACAGACACACAGCTGTTTGTCCAGGAAGGCCATGCCTGCCAGGCCTCGGGGCGTCCATCACGCCTTGTGGGGGTCCCAGTGTTAGCACCTAGCTTGTCTCCAGGTCAGCAGCTTCTGTGGTCCTTCATTCCTGAGTCAGAGAGCCAAGATAGAACTGGCGGGAGGGGAGCTGCTCTCTCCCCCATGACACAGAAAGCTGCCCCTTGGCATCCCAGGGGGGATCAATTGCACCATCACACCACCAGCTACCATCATCACCATCACCACCAATGCCATCACCACCACCACCACCATCGCCATCACCACCGTCACCACTACCACCACATTCACCATCATTGTGTTGCTATAAAGCACAATTTGACACAATAAATTTAAGTGGCTTGAGCAGGCCCTGGTTCATCATTCTTTGTTTCTTCTGCTAAAACCCTCAGTAAAAAAAGAGAGTTTAGTACCACTTCTTAGAAAACATCAGTGGGGCCAGTTTTGTGGTGCAGTGGGTAAAGGTGCCGCCTGTGATGCCAGCATTCCACATGGGCACCAATTTGAGTCCCAGCTGCTTCACTCTGCAGCCAGCTCCCTGACCTGGGAAAGCAGCAGAGGGTCCAAGTCATCGAGCCATGCAGCCATGTGAGAGACCCAGATGCCGCTGCTGGCTCCGGCCTGGCCACGCCTTGGGTACCGCAGTCATTTGGGAGGTAAAGCAGCAGGTGGGACCTCTCCATCTCTCCCTCACTCTGTGACTCCACCTTTCAAGTGCATCTTTGCAAAAACCATTGGAAAGTGGCATCCAAAGAGAGGTTGGTTTTTTTTTTTGGTGCATTTTGAAACCCGGGCATGTGAGAAGTCTTGAAAATCATTTTGTGGGGCCCGGCGGCATGGCCTAACGGCTAAAGTCCTCGCCTTGAACGCACCGGGATCCTATATGGGCACCGGTTCTAGTCCCGGCTGCTCCACTTCCCATCCAGCTCCCTGCCTGTGGCCTGGGAAAGCAGTCAAGGACGACCCAAAGCCTTGGGACCCTGCACCTGTGTGGGAGACCTGGAGGAAGTTCCTGGCTCCTGGCTTCAGATCAGCACAGCACCGGCCATTGCGCTCACTTGGGGAGTGAATCATCAGATGGAAGATCTTCCTCTCTGTCTCTCCTCCTCTCTATATATCTGACTTTCTAATAAAAATAAAAATAAATCTTAAGAAAAAAAAAACTAAACTATGTCCACACAACAATTCTTAAAAGAAAGAAAAAAGAATTCCGCCTACATAATCACTTCCTCATTTCCCAGCCTCATCTCTTACCTTCTCTCCCCCTTAAAACACAAAACAAAACAAAACAGAGTGGACAGGCTCTGATTGGTTTGAACTACTCGTTGTAATCCCACCCCTTTCCTCCAGTGATTGGTGGAACTGGTCTTCTAGGTAACCTGGGCCAATGGCAGTAGGGGAGTGCGTGAAGCTTCCAGCACCCTGCTCCCCGCCCTACTGCGGCCCACCAGGGATTAACCGAGCCCAGAAGCAGTGTCTTGGGGCTCCCTGGTGTTCACCCTAAGGTGGTCTTCCCTGGATCCCGGCCTTGGAGTGGGGACAGGGGCTTCCTCCCCC